AAAGTAATTTTATAAAAGAAAGAAGATGTATGAACACGTATGGACATATTTAATATAAAATGATATATATTTATGAATATTTATACATCTTTATATATATTTATATATGTTCAAGCATGACAAATTTTTTTATTGCGTTATCACCTACTGAAAAAAATAAGTAACGAGTAACGCGTAATGTTACAAATAATAAGTAAAAAGTAATGCGTTGCAAATTTGGAGTTATTTTTTTCAATAACGAATGATTTTTTCAATCTATTATAAGTAACGACTTTTATAATTGACTTTTATAATTTTGATGACTGTTATCGTCATAAAATTCACAATGTCATTACTAAATCGTTATTACAACAAGGTAATGATCAACAAAGTAATTGCACTACAAGTAATGTGTTACTTGTCAACCCTGACATTTAAGTATTTGGTAGTAAAGAATCCTTCGATTACAAATTAATAACCGCTCGCATTATTTTATAAAATTGTGAAAGCGAGTAAAGTGGACTTGTTAACGTAACGAAAACGCTTTTACTTTTTAATTAACACATGTCGCGTCATTTCAGGTAAGCAGACATCAATTAATGGTTCAAGTAAAAAAAAAAACATGAATTCTTAAAATGAAGAATTCGGGAAAATAATGCTGTTCAAATGGCTCAAAAATTTTAGAATGTATTATGTATATATGATGATAGTATCATATCAAGTGAAGCAATGCAAAAGTGCAATATAAAGTTTTGTTCGAGAAATATTATTTTAAGAGATGACATATAATCTTTTCAATTTCAATAACGATTTTAAAACTATTGATAAAACAAACTCGTTACACAACAAGAACATTGGCAGAGATATATTAAGCACATTGCAACTTATTAGCAAAAATAAAAATTGGAAATCGAACTTAAGAGGAAAGTGGCAAATGCATAAATAAAACTTATTCTAAAAGGCGAAAATTGAGACAATAAAAAATGTAAAAAGGCGTTTATATTTCTTTTAGATTTCATTGTCTCAATTTTCACTTTCTAAAAATTTCGTTTACACTTCTGTTATTTCTCCTTTACGGTAAACTTATGCTTCAATTTTTATTTTCACCAGGGAAACGCAGGAATCTCTTTAATCTCGCGTCTCTGATTGAATTGCCGCCATTGTCGTCAAAACTCTGTCGTCATCTGCGAACGACTGTAGCGATCATCAGCTGATACGAAATTGGCGGGAAACACCAGTTTAGATTAGCTGTCCATAGTTAACAGAGTGCCCTACAGTATGTTTCCATCGCAAAAGAATAACAGTGATTACGCAAATTGTTTGACTGATAATACTGAGATTGACTGAGATTGATTTCATCGATTCGAGCATCGATCGAAATGGAACCGATTTGTACAAGCAGATTTTATGGTAGCAAGGTACAAAAGCGATCACCATCCCAATCCAAGATTTGTTGGGTGAAAACGTATCGGGTCATGCCATCGCACATATTGGGCCCGACCCAATACTGGCAGGAATTTCACAAACAGGCTGATGCTCTAGCCGTGGCTGCTGAACGCAGCACAAAAACGGACGTGTTATGTACCTTTGTATATCAACGACCTAGCGACGGTAGTCGTAGATTCGTCGTAGCGCATCCGGAAGTTTATTGGTGGTATTACAAAATTAAACCGCAAGAAGAGAGATGCTCATATGAGGTGAGTATGCAAAACTTGCGATTTATTTGCACTTACTTAGGAAAAATATTTAGATATTTCAATTTTTTTAGATATGAAAAAGATACGAGATGAACATGTAGATTTATAGTTACGTCTTATAGATTTACGTCTTACAGAAAAAAAACCGTTTAAATATTTTTCTTGAAAAAAACATGCTTTAAACGGCTATTTATATCGCCAAGGAGCGATAAATAAAAAAACAAGTATATATAATTATGTTACAATTTATAGAAAATTAAGAGTATATAATTATAGTTGTTACCTGTTCGATTGGATATCTTAATTTTTTGGACGAATTCTTTGTTAAGCAAAAAACTAATTGTTTTGATGAATTTTAATGATCTTTCTGCAAAAAAAAAAATCACAAATTTTATAATATACTCTGTTACGGATTTATTCTGTTACTTTATTTATTTTAAATTATATCTCTTTAATATGTTGAACAATATGAGATAATTTGTAAAAAAACAATTTTGAAAACACTGAAGTTAAAACACACACCATTAAATTTATTAAATCTTCAGGTTGATCTTCAAGTTTAATCGTTGATTATTCGAAAATCTTATCAAAAAGCTTCTACATTCTGATAGGATGTATTATTATTCAATTTTTTTAAATCATGAAGTGCTTGCAAGTTCTCTGAACTATATTTTTCTGCACATTTTCAATGCTCATTTTAGGTTTTTAGAAGTCTGTGATAAATAATACTTTTTTTGCTCCGAAAATGTATTTCAAGAAAAACTTATTTTTGAAAAAAAATTGAACTCATCCTCTTTATGCAATAGCCGATTTAATTAAAAGAAACAACTTATTGAATATTTCCTCTGTTTCTTTTTTTTTTTAAATCAACTTCCGCTGGAATAATATTATAGTGAAGGTAGCAGCCGTCTGAAAGTGATTCTAATAATACATAAACATTTTTCTCTGTTTCAAAATTTCAATTGTGTCATGTAACATATAAATGCCTTTTCACAATATATTTTAATAATACATACATATAAAAAACATACACACACGCGCGCGCGTGTGTGTATGTATGTATGTATGTTTTATGTTTTATATTTGTCTTCAAGAATAAATCACCAAAATTTATGAGACTGGTTGTTGATGCTAATTAATTAATACATACAAAATTTATATAAAATTACAAACGTTTCTACTCCAGTTTGAGTCCTTTTCAATCTACAAATTAGTAACAGCAAACGCAGTTCCAATCTCTCTTCCACTCCATTCTAATCTAGTCAACATAAACATTGCACAATGTAACGTCTAGAATACAAAAAAGATCCAAATTTGAAAAGAAGCTTAGTTTGCGAAATATTAAGGCACTTTCGCATACTCTGGATATAAAAGATATATATAAAAGATATATATATATATATATAATATATATATATATATATGTGTGTATATAAAGCTTAAAGAAAATTATCAATTTTACAGATAATACCAAAAGATTCACCATGTTGGTTATATCTGGACTTGGAATATCCAATTGAACTAAATCCACTTTGCAATGGACCACGTATGACTAAAACGCTGATAGATATCATACGAGCGTATTTACTCAATCACTATCACCTGTTATGCGATAGAAGTAACTTTTTAATATTAGATTCTACAACCAGTAAGAAATTTAGCAGACACGTGATTTTTACTATGAAGGATATGGCTTTTAAGGACAACTCACATATTGGAAAGTTCATCAAAACTATATACAATGATATTTTACTTTATTTGAAGTCGGATACGCTATCGCATGGAATTTTAAATCACTTTAACAAAGCAGATATTGAGGAAATGCTCGTGAAAACACAGCACGGTGAAAAATTGTTTATTGACAATGGTGTCTATACAAAGAATAGACATTTTCGAATATACCTGTCCACTAAATGGGGAAAACAATCCTACCTAACAGTTTCTACAGATTGCATGCATAATGCAGTGAATAAATGCAGAGAGAAGGAGTTGGGGATCTTTTTGGATTCCTTGATATCGTACTTTCCAAACAAACAAAATTTAATTTTGCTCGAGTTTTTTAATCGAAGCGACGTAAAAGCTAAACTTTATTCAAATGTACCAATACGATCCATTCACGAAAATGACGACCAGAGCTCACCATATCCTGAAATAGATAGGTACATTCGTAATCTCATTGATCCTGGCAAAATACGTGTTGCTAAATATTTTGATAAAACTAAAACGCTGAGATATGAAATTTATGGCAACAGGTAATGTAACTATAATCGATGATAAAATAATGATCACTTATTAGTTCTTATTTTTCTATACACATTCGTCTTGCTATTGTAAATGATAGTACATAATGTTTTTACATTATTTTACAGATACTGTGAAAACATTGGTAGATATCATAAGAGCAACAACGTATATTGGATTGTAGATTTAAACACGAAAAAGGTATATCAGAAATGTCACGATGAAGATTGCTCGGAATTTTTATCCACACCAAAGAATTTACCAGAAGAAATTCTTTTTAAGTTAGACATAGAAGGTGATACTTTTATGACTGGTGCAATAATAGATGAAGATATTACAGAGAAGATATAAAAATTATTAAATATGATTTTTATATATATAATGTAATATTATTATATTGTACATATATATAATATTAATATATAAAATATAAGCTATATAATTAATCCTTAGTAATAATAATTTTTAGGTCTTTTACACAATCATTCGTGTCCCGGATGTTAATTTATATCAATTTACAAGTATAGCTTATATAAGTACGAAACATTATTAAGAGATTTTTACATATAACTTAACATTTTTAAAAAGCATTTATAAGGTGATGTATTAAAAAAATTGTATAACGAAAGTTAAAAAATGTAAAAGGTTGTAATAAATTTTATACTATGTATAAATGTTAGTATAACTTGTAGTTTCAAAGAAAAAAAAAATACGCAGAATATGAATGATCCAATCGTGTGTACTAAGGATTAATTTACGATTATTTGTGATTAATTATGAAAAATCACTTCTGGATCACTATGTTCAGGGAGTTTAATTTGTACATTTGTAAAAATTTACAGGATTTCTTATTAAATCGTTTTCACGGTTTAATAAGCACAATCTGTCATTCAATTTAATATAAATAACTTTTATCTTTTGTTCTCTGAATATACAGAGGATAATACACTATATTTACATATGCAAATATTTATTAACATATATATATATATATATATATATATATATGTGTTTATATATATATACACACACACACACACATACAAATAAACGTCATAAATGTGACATATAGGATGCATTCCGTTTTATGTACATAATAATCATTTTTTATTCTTGTTGTTCGCAGAATGTTAAACAAACATAAAACAACCTTACACAACATACGTAAAACAGAACGTACTTATATATACATACATGTGTTATATTATTAATACACTCTGTCTAATCCCTCCACTTCTTTCTTCTCGTTGATGTTTCCGTTTATATTTATGGAATTAATCCGTAGCATTGTGTGTTGTATTCTGTAGACTGAAAAACAAAACGTTGAACTCAATAAATAAGACATGAGGAGTGAAATGAAAATATCTCTTTAAAAGTATCTTACAGTTTATACGGCGATACTGTTTCCTTGGCCGGAACCTAAAGCGAGTTTTTGTATGGGATAAAGTTTTTTCTATAACTGTTGCATCGACTGAAACTAATTCTCTATTCAAAATTGGTCTGCCTATGAGAGTGAAGTTTTTACTGCCAACCAGCAACACTTTTTCCAGTTTTAGTTGATCGCCTATGTTCGGTGGCCAGAATCCCTCAATAATTATAATGTCATGTTCTGTTATCTTAAATTGTTTTCCACATACTTGGACAACCGCGAACATACGGCCAATACTGTCTGTTGTGATCTGATTGTTGATTTCGTTTGTTACATCTATGAACAAGACAAGTTATTAGAATTTATTCATAAAAATTGAACATTTATACATGCTTATAGAATAAGTTAACCAACCAATGCATATTTTCTCTTTCTTTTCATCCCATTCCTGTATTTCCGTTTGATAATTTGGGATTGGCTTCATCCATGGTGGTTTAACTGTCCGATATTCTGCTATTGGTGTTTCCCACAATCTTAATGCTGAAACAAAAGACAATTTTTGAAAACTTTCTTGTACTATACAAAATCTGGATGATTTCGTGTCTTCGTCTCTCTGAATTTATATATAAAATTGCATTAATAGATTTATTATAAAATTTATTTACCTAATTTTATTAGGTTATTAAGCATTGAAGTTGAAAATTTTATAGGTTAAGATATCTGTCATTCCGACTCAATATAGCGCTATGTATATACGTTTAGATTTATTATAAAATTTTAATTTAATGAAAGCTCAATTTTTTGTAAAATCTATATAATGTATAATCTATATAATCTATATTTTGTATAATACTAGAGTTCAGGCACTTTGTTTCAGAATTTAAATATAAAATTCTTTAAGTTTTGTGAACTTTTTTATTAGGTTTTTATAAAATTTTAATATAATAAAAAACGATCTTATTTTATCAATCTATTATTTTATCTTTAAAAATAAAATTCTTAGGTCTGTATTCAGAACGCACTTACAACAATGTTAGCGTGCTAATATACTATACTTTATGTTACGCATATTATAAAATTTCAGAGATAAAAGCGCATTCTGAATACAGACGAGAGTGTAGTAGGTAAGAAAGAGGTTATGTTTGCATTCAAGAGAGAGGTTATATTATATTGCTGCGCACTTTCTGCATTTTATAATTTCTAATTACATACCAGGATAATATTGTTTGCAAATTATGGCCGGCACTATTCTTCTCACACAATTACTCGCCGTATAATTAAAAAATCTTGATAAATTGAACAACGTCGCCATCGCGATACGTAACAAACTGCGATGTGCGGCGATGGAAAACTACAAATAGATCGGTGATTGGAAAATGCGAATAAATCTAATGTTGGCAATCAACTTTTTGCAGAATAATTTATTTCCGAATTTATTAGACAAAAGGTTGTCTAATATATGAAAATAATCACGGGAATCGTAATTAATTAAAAAAAGTTTTCTTGATGTTTTCGATATTTTATATTTTTGAGCCACATGTTTTTGGACGATAAAATTGCTTGGCGGGAATTTTCAAAGGTTGATTGTTTACATCTTGCGACGTGCATTTTTATTAAAAAATTAGATAATTATTTAGAATAATCCCCCGTCCCACCTCAAATCTTAATAAAAATATACTTATTCGACTTTTCACTCTCAAAACGAAAACATTTGGCAAAAAAATGCGGCGATCGTGAATCAAATTATTAAGTGTTTAAGGGAGCTTTCCAACAGAAGCACAAATCAACACAAGAATCATTCCGTCTTTGTTTTTTATTGATTATTGAACAAGGATAGATTTGTGTTTCTTGCTGGAAAGTTCCTAAAGTTGGAGACTTTAGAGGTTAAGATATCTGTCATTCCGACTCAATATATAGCGCTATGTATACGTTCTGCATTAATTACACAAATTCACTGCTCTAAAAACACATTTACTGCTTTAAAAATACAAATTCACTGCAGTAAATGTGTTTTTAAAGCAGTAAATGTGTTTTTAGAGCAGTGAATTTGTGTAATTAATGCAGAACGTATACATAGAATTGTATCCAGCAAACGAAAATGGATTAAAATGGATTAGAAATTTTCAATATCCATCCGAATCCCAATTTTAAATCTATAAAAATGAATTGGATTCCATGTAAAAAATTTTTATATGTGTAAAAGTTTAAATAAATTAAAGCAGTAATTGCATGAAATTCTATAGTTATTATTTTAAAACTTTTATACAAAAAAATATACGCTAGCTGTATAATAAAGGAAACGTATTAATATAAAATATACATAAAAGCGATTAATTTATTAAATTATTAAAAATAAGGAATTTACATATGTAACATTTATTATACATATTATACGTAATTCTTTTTATGTTTCCTTTAACTATTAAATTCCTTTAACTATTAAATGAAGTAGAATTCATGATTCATATTTTTACGGTACAACTTTTTTTTAACTCAGTTGAATTAAAACAAAAAATTTCTTCATAATTCTGAAAATAACATTCATGATGTATTTTTAAATGAAACAATGAATTTTCTATTCACAATTTTGAATAATATTGGGTCATCTAAAAAGTATCCGCGGTTTTTTGTCACTAGATGTGTGTTGATGGTTATATATCTAGTGACAAAGTACCGCGGATACTTTTTAGATGACCCAATATTCATGGCCTATTTTAAGAAATGGTGCATCATTTATTGTTCCTTGTTTAACATTTGGTGAATAACAAGGATAAATAATGCAGCATGCGCATCATGCGTGAAACGGAATGCAGCCCCTGAAGAGATCGTTCGAATTCGCGCATATCAGTTCCGGTTACACGCACGCGTCACTGCCAACACTGGCCTAGTTTTCATCGAGAGTTTAAACCGGATCAAAATGTAAGAATCAACCAACTATAGTCGAGCATTTCCCTATCGTTCGACTGTAACAGAAGTAACTCGACTATAGTTGATTGGTTCTTACATTCTGATCCGGTTTAAACCTTCAGTGGAAACTGGACCAGTCAGTCACTGGCAGCCGGTCAGTCAGTTTGGTCAGTTTCTGGTCGTGGCAATATCGTGGGATTCGTGGGACTGCGTGAGATTTACGTACACTTGCGAATCACGCAGAAATGTCGTACGCGTAACGCGACGGTCGCTTGTTATGTTCGACCGTCCCGTCGCGGGTGATCTCGGTAGTGTATCGCGTCCACGTCGCGTCTCCGTCGTAGAAACGACCGCAGTCCGATCCCATCGACCTCACGGTTTCCCCATCTTCTTTCTCGTCTCCCTGCTGTTACCTTTGGCATTCACGGTTCGGTGACACGGCAACGGAGTGACGTGTGCGGCTCGAAGAAGCATGCAGTTTTACAAAGACAGGCTGTTGTCAACCGGCCAGCTGAAACGGCTCAGTGAGCACAAGTATAGCTGCACGAGCAACAGCATCCTCGACGGCTTCCTTCAGCCATGGTGGGACTGGCTGGTCAGCAAGGTGCCGCTTTGGCTCGCACCCAATCTCATCACCGTGCTCGGTCTGATTGTCAACATCGTCACCACCCTGATCCTTGTATATTATAGCCCGGACGCGAGGACCGAGGTAAGCTTGACATTAGAAGCTTCTAACTTGTCTAACCTGTTTCTTCATGAGACACGTCCTTCCTCGTTCTTCTTGAACACCACTGTATCTCTGTGACGAACATTTTTCTTATCACGAAAAAAAAAATTTTTTTTTCATGTAATCTTTAAGTGAGTAGAAATAGCCATAGCACTTTGTAGCTACAGTTTTCTTTAAAACTTTATTCAAGAAAAGGAAAAAAAGATATCGTCCAGATACTCAGAAGTTTTGAAGTTCTGATTATTTTCACATTTCTCTATTTCAAGGATATAACTGATGTAAATTTATAACTAACATATAACTATGAAATTATAATTTTTAAGGATGTTTTGAACACCCTTATTTATTAATATTTATACCTTCAAATCATCTATGTACTTAAAGGTTAATTAAAAAGCTGTGACAGTTTTATTTATGTTTGACTTGAAATATTTCATAGTAACTCTTTGTCATTCAAATTTTGTGCAAGTGAAATTTTTTTATCACATGAAAGCTCTTTTATTAGTTGTCACAGACAAAATCTGTAAAAAAAAACTCTTAATTTGAGAATTTTCTAATATTTCTGATATGTTAATTATAGTAAAACATGAAGTTACAAATCAGAACACATATGTGTCTGTTGTCTTCCTTTAAACAATTTTGTTGTATTATTTTCTGTATAATTTGAATTTTTTTTAACCAGGATAGGATAATATATTTAAAATTAGTAAATAACAAGGACACAAATTAAAAAAAAAGAAATTTTAATAAAAGGCTGTGGGAAGATAATATTTTTATTCTCAAGGATATTTTTATTCAAGGATTAATGCATTTGAAATTATTATTTTAAATTTGATTGATTTGTTGAACAAATCTTGCACAGTCAATAATATTATAATATTATAATCAGGATAAAAGACATTATTGTCTTATTATTGTCTTAGTATTGAATCTCATCAAGGAATCAATTTTTTAACTGAAGAAGTATTGTTACTGGAAAATGCAATGTCATACAAATCTATGACTCATCCATATAACTCTGTTATTGATGCAAAAAAAAATCTATGCACAATTGTATTCAAATATATCTTAACTTTAAAGCAATTGAATAAATGTATCTTTATATGAAAAGCCTTGGCACAATGAATCCTATATAATATAGTAAAGTATGCTATAATTACAATAAAATCGGCTATTGTTTTTTTCAGGCACCTAGGTGGGCATGTTTTTTATGTGCACTTGGTCTGTTTATATATCAGAGTTTAGATGCTATCGATGGTAAACAAGCCAGGAGAACTGGCACGTCTACACCATTGGGCGAGTTGTTTGATCATGGATGCGATTCGATATCGACGGGTAGATAATTGCACTGTCTCTTAATAATCTTATGCATTAGAAACATTTTTTCTGATATTTATTTCTTTTCAGTGTTTGTAGCTTTGTCGGCGTGTATAGCTGTACAATTAGGATACTACCCAACGTGGATGTTTTTCCAGTGTTTCTGTGCAATGACGCTTTTCTACTGTGCTCATTGGCAGACCTATGTTTCAGGTATAAAATCAAAAACAAAAAATTTATTAGGTGTTGGAATTAATTCGTAGCGTTTTACAAGTGATGGGAAGTACTTTCATTAATGTATTTTTTAATGCTCATGTGAAATAAATAACATTCTTTCATTAAAAAACGCTACGAATTAATTCCAACACCTAATATATGAAAATAAAACAATACAGTGCATTATTTAACTTTGTTTAAAATATCGTTTTAATAGGTTCCTTGAGGTTTGGTAAAGTGGATGTAACAGAAGCACAGTTTACAATCATAACTATTCATCTGATTTCTGCAATCTTCGGTCCACAAATCTGGATGATAGAGGTTGTATTGTGTTTAATTACCCTGAATTATCCTTTCTGTATTTTACATAGCAAGAATATCTTGTATAGCAATTTAACACGTTTTATGATCTTTTTCTTTTAATAATCTTTATTTATTTATTTAATTTTAATTTTTTGCATGGCTGCAGTTTGATAAACATAATACATGAATACTATATCCTGCTTTGCTTGTGTTTTTTTAAAGATAATCACATTATTCTGAATTGTTGAAGTCATTTATCACACATTATATTATATATGCTTATGTAACTGCTTGTGTAACTAAGTTTTTACACAAATGATTTATGGCAATATTTGTCAAAGATAAAATTAAATAGCTCGAAATTATAATTTGTATTTTTAAAAATGTAACACATAGTGCAAGCAAAATGATAAAATTTTGCTTATGTTGCTATGGGTTTCAGATTTTATGGTAAGTAATTTTGATAGCTTAGCCTAAATTTATGTAAATTTTATATAATAAAATCTTTTTATATAATAAAATTTATATAAAAAGTGTAGTAAATCTACTACATTTCTATAAAATATAGATTATATTATTATTAATAACATAATCTTTTCAATGTCATTTTTATTAAATCTGTTGAGCATGTATAAACTAAGTTAATTTACTAGCCTATATTATTAATCTTCTTTACTTGAACAAAATCCGCAATGACGGAAATTGAATATAATGTATGCTATTACGCTCTAAAATTCAATTTTTTGTGTAATTTACATTTCATATATTTTTTAGACATATATACACATACATACAAATTGAAACATATATATTACAACATTACAAAAGGTTATACATGAAAAAAATTGCGATGATCGCTGAATCGCGCAGCACTGATTACTGTGCCGAGAAAAATTTTCACCGCACAGTGACAATTACTGCAATGATGATCACTGTTTGGACAGCGACTAACGCGTGCACAGTAATTGTTACTGTGCGGTGAAACTTTTTTCTCGGCACAGTAATCATCGCTGCAGTTTTTTCCATTTTGTGCTGTGCTTAAAAATTATTATTCAAATAATTTTTGCCTTGAAAGATTTTACTATTGCATTCATGATATATATGATAAAAACTTAATGAAACAATATCATTGAACATATATACATATAATGTCATTTAATGAAGGTATTTTTTGCAGATACCATTCTTAGATGGTTTTATGTTTAAGTATTTATTAGGAGTTATGACAGTGGTGTGTGCACTGGCAAATTTATATTCCATATTTTCGGTGATTTTCACCGGAGGAGTGGGCAAGAATGGTTCCACTGTGGCTGTAAGTCTGTTAACTAGAATCTTTTATTGAACATGCAGAAATGGGAGCAGCATGGCATGAGGAACGGCGCTGAGATTACTTCTTTACTGCAAAATATTGACTGATTTTTAACACGCATTTTTACTTCCGTATTTCCTACTAAATTATGCCCCCTTATAGTTTTCAATACTTCCACATCCTACAACTCTTATAATGAATTGTATATATATCATTATATGACTGATGATTATATTTCTTTTATATGTAAATTCATATTTTCCAAGTTTTCAGCAAGTTATTAATGTTTTAACGTATTTTAAAAACACAACTGTAAAAAATTTTCCTGGTGTTTTTCAATGTAAAATTAATCATAGCTTTTATGTTCGTCTTTTGATGTTATATTTATGATGAAAAATCTTATGATCGCCTTTTGATATTATGAAAATCTCGATCTTGATCACATCAACTTTTTTTATAAATATATAATAATACTCTCTTTTGAAACAATTTCAAATTAGGGATTTTTGTCAAATAGTTGAAGAATTTTAAGTCTATAAATTATGTATAAAGTTTTTGTAAAAGAATCTAACGCAGATAAATATTAAGAAATTTTGAATTTCTTATTTGTAGCATATATACATTATATTCTTTTTCACACTACGCTTCTGAAGAAAATACAATAATAAGCACATTTGCCTATATAGATAAAATGAGTCTGCGAAATCTGCACATTAGATATAATAAAAAATTGATTCTTTCACATAAAGCTATAACATTAGGGTGAGGTCTTTAACATTCAACTTATCTTACTCAAATCAGCTGCTTCCTCGTGCCTTACAATTTTGCAGTTTTATTGCAATGAGAGATAAGCGTGTCCTATTTGTACATGCTTACAGCAAATACGACCACAGATAGAACTAAGCCCATCCAGAGCGATATTATTGTGGCAATAGTATCGAGAGACATAATTATATCAGTTTGTGTATATATATGTAGGCATTTACATACACAAGAACAATTGTAATGAGCAATTCTCATAACGAACGAAGATCTTGTCACTTTGTTTAGATTCCCATGCTCGGTGTAGGCACGTTCAGTAACTACGTAGCATTGGCCTTTTATGCAGGCTACGTTCACGTGTTCCTTGAATTCTGTAAAGTCTTTGAATCTGGTGGGATTGGAAAAAACGGTTCCACAATTGCAGTAAGTCTCTTAACGAAATGGCGTTCTCCTAGAACAACATATTCTCATATCTTTTGCCATTCTGTACAGTAGAGATGTTGTCTGTTTGGTACATTTCTTCATTTTCTGCTTGCTGTCTTCTCTATCGATCTCTTCTACTGGGAACTTGTGTCGGATGTTTGGTTGGATTACTAAACGTCTGTGTATGGCCATCTGCATATTAAACCATCAGAGTGATATATCTCGGTATCTCGCACAATTTATATAAACGCTTCTTTTGTCTAATATAGATATCGCTCTTAGTATAACAAGCTCTCAATAATCTCTTTACTCGAGAAATACTTCTTTACTTCTATTGTTGCAACAACTAAATAACTAACTTGGATTTGAAAAATGATTAATTCTAAAAAAGGTATACTAAGTTAACTTCTATTTATACATACTGAATTTTATAATATGCCATATTTAATTGTACAAAATATGAGGCTTTATTTACTGTGCAGTTTTTACGTTTCTATATCAATAGAGATATTTGAGTAAAAAGAATATTATTCGCATTTATTGAAACTTGCTATGTGTAATTCGTTTTGTGAAGTTGATGCCTGCAAAGAAAATGATGTGTGTTATTTTATATGTGAAACAAAAATACCAACACTTCTGTGTATGACCGAATGCTGCACAATGATAGCTTTAATTTCTTCAAGTCTTATTTTTTAAATTTAAATTTGGATTTTGTGTTACTATGTATTGTGTTTCTTCACTTATTTAATTACATGTTGGTGATATTATAGCAACAACACTTTGCCTTGCACCTTTATAATTTATAAATAAATTTTATTCTTCTTTTTATTTTTGTTCGGTTACAAAGATTATGAACAATTAGCTCATCGTTCAAGATAACAGAAGAAAGAATTTTCAAAATTTCATATATAAATTTCCGTGTAGATTTCTTAAATAACAAATGAGAGACTTGCGTATATTGTGTAATATGATTACGAATAGCAATCAGAATTTATAGAAACAATAAGAAAGAGAAACAATAAAATTTGTTCAGTTTTAAATGCATATAAAATAATACAAAAGTATTTTATTATATAATACATAATATTGTGTGTATATATATTATATATTCTATTAATTTTGTGTAAGCATTATGAATAGTGATTAAAATGTAATGTACGAAATTGTTTCAAAAGTAAAAATAGCAAATATTTTTTTCAATTTTTGACTTCACGTTTATATAAACTCACTTATTAACATATTAACATATCTGGAATACGAAATGTTAGAAAAAGTCTTTGATACGAGGATAGCCTCTGATGACTAATCAAAAGATCTTTCGTGTCGCTCTTATACAGTTGCCATACACTGGCACAGAGGTGAAGGTGTTTCCGTTATGGGCTGCTGTGGGCATCGCTATTTTACTTGCACAGAGCAGCATATCCGTCATTCTCGCCGGTGGTGTCGGAAAAAATGGCTCCACCGTCGCAGTAAGTCAGCTGAAGAAAAAAAGTAGTGGGACCAATTGTGTAGTGCACAATATTTTTGTCTGATTTCTTTTTAATTCATGATTTAGGCCCATGCTTTTTGAACAAGTCGCATAGATATGAAAAGAGTTTGCTTGAGAAATCTTTATTATTGTAGCGAATTAATAATACATTTTAATTTTACTAATATATAAAAAATTGTATATGGTCTAAAAATAATTAGTAATAATAATAATAATAATAATAAATAATCGTAGATCTATTTGTTTCTTTTAGACGCGACGGTGGGCCTAAATCTAACGGCGTCGTATAAGATTACTCATCACTGTTACTGTTTTCACTTATGTTAATATTTGTTATATTACATACTTTCCCACAGAGGAATCCATGTATTATATATCCCTTCATTTTTCGCTTTCTCCTTATATTTTGCAGTTATAGAATAGTTCTCATTTCATTTTCGATTCTCATTTGAAGCCGAATTCTTACACGCATGTTACGAAGCTGTAAAATTGAATATTACTAATGACATTCTATATCATGATATTGCGAATTTTATTTTATTTATTCGTACATTTTACCCATATAGATGTAGTATATATTGCATGTGTCAAACGAAATTAATTATTTTATTAATTATTATAATAATTAAAATTATGTTCCTTAATGACTTTATAAAAATTTACCTGACTTGTTTAATGCATTTAAAGTAATTTATTTACTGTATTGCAATTCGAATAAATATAATAATCAAACTTTAATTTCTCTTTACATGTTTAAAATATAGACTTTACTTAGAACTTATTATATTTTTTTTTCACACATTTGCAGTTTTTCCTATCAAACGCACAGAGCAGTATATAATAGCTATCTTTATATCTATTATAAAATCTATTATTAATGTGATTTTATATTTTTAAAGAAATTGTTTTACGAATACAAAGTAAATTTATACATATCTCAAGTTTATGACATGTGATGTGTGTCAACTGACACATATCATTTATTTAAATAACAATATAAAAAGATTTTAACATACATTTTTTAAATATGTAACATCTATCAAATTAGGTCTCTGCACTTAATCAGACTGTATTTTCTTCTCTTACAAATATAAATCTCCACACGTAGCTTTATTTAAATATCTTCTTCAGACTGTCTGCATAAGACCGATTTTGTTTTAGGGAACATCCGTTTTATCGCCAATTATACCATTTAGTTTTGTGGTAGTACCGGCTTTTATAATATATAGAAAAAGCGCCGAACACGTCTACGAAAACCACCCAGCCTTGTATATACTTGCGTTTGGAATGGTGGCGGCCAAAGTTACGAATAGGCTAGTGGTATGTATATTGATTGTGTAATAATATCCTTTCTTATTTGTGACAATATATTGCTATATTTATGATATACCAATTTTTTATAATATTACTTTTCAGGTTGCTCATATGACTAAAAATGAAATGCAATACTTGGACAGTTCGTTAATTGGTCCAGCTATGCTGTTCCTTAATCAATATTTCAATTTTTTCATCAAAGAATATTATGTTCTTTGGCTGTGTTTCGTAAGTCAATATTTGACCATCTTTACAACATAATCTTCGATGATCTCGATAAATAACGAAACACATATATTTAGATTTGGGTTACTCTGGATCTCTTCCGGTATAGTGCTCAAGTATGTCTTGAAATTTGCGATCATATGAAGATCAAATTATTCAGGATACCATGCAACCATCACACAGGCGCTAACCAGATCAACGCCGCCGAGAAAAATGGTACTAATAGGTCACAACGTAACAGATTGCATAAGAAACATCATTAGGATTGACTGGTGATAATGAATGCTCTGTATGATTCGTGTATAAAGAAATCATGATGTAACAAAGTAAAAATGCTTGTCGAATTCTGTGTACATAGTTCGAACAGTACAGCTCATTTATTATCACGTTTGTGATTTATGAACTTGTCGTTTCAAACTATAAGAATTTATAGAAAATTAATAACTTATAATTAAAATTTTAACTTTTGCATATAGAATGCGACAACGCTTGTAACCTTGCAGAAGTTAACGCGATAATCAATTAATTTATCACTTTTCCATAAAAGCGAAAAAACGATTGACTAATTTCATGCTAACTTCTGTCGCACGGCAAACGTTGCCACACGTTCTGTGTGCAGAAGTCATTAGTTGAATTGATTAGCGATTATTACAAATTTTTAGTAAAACATACTGTGTATCAAAGCAAGAGAGTGCCACCGGATCGTATAATAAAAACGGTACTTGCTCCATACTTATAAGAAAAGAAAATGATAAATTAGAATTCAGAGTGTTCGAGACGAGAGGCACATGAGATACATAATAAGTCTGTATGAGGATGTTATAAGTTTGATATGAATTGCATTAAACTTTTAAATCTTTGTTTTCGGTGTGTCTTATTCTGATATATCTCGTTCATAGGACGTTTATTATAAAAATATAATAAAAATTACATATACATCAAATATGGCAAGATCAAAAATCTCATCGTTTGTAAAGAAGTAAGTTTCTCGACAATTAATATCTAGACTTGCTTAAATACTCATTTAATGAGTTATAATTTTTAATAAAATTTGTTTATTTGATTATTTGATTTGATTATTATTTTTTCATAACTTATTGTTAGCAAAATTCGCTGATAATGTTTTTGACAAAACTAAATTTTTTTTTCAAAAATTTGAATTAGTAAGTTTATATTTATATTTTATATTCGTTAAAGCTTTGTAAAGCTTGTAAAATGAATTTGTATGATATCTATGACATGATGTCTATAATAAACTATACATTTTGAAATGTATAGTTTTCGATTGTATGGAATGCGTCGTGAACATTTTCTATTTCTGCTTTTATGCGTATGTCCGTGTATTTGATAACAAAGAACATTTTTAATGAAGATATGATAAATTAAAGTATGTGAGACATGTTAGAACATAAAGAGACTAAAGACAATTTCGACTTTAGATTTCGACACTAGATATGTTTGTTTACTTCTACGTCAATAGATATGACAATAGATACAATTAAGACAAACACTTTATTAAGAGAGTCTTTACATAAGTGTCATATATATTCTGTGAGAAGCGTATTTTAAATATACTTCTATGTATTTTATATGAAACGTTACAAGCAAATGGCAGATACATGCTTAACTCTTATTTGTATATTATATTACACTTTTAATTTTGTTAATTTAATGTTCTTTCATAAATAATGGTTAATTAATCATTTCTCTAATAGAGTTGAATGTAAAAAGCAAAATCTTAATGTATGATAAGAAGTAATGATAGGAATTTATAATTTTCTATTGTATTATATATTCCTGAAGAAATGTTGATGTAGGAAAGTAAAGTATAACAAAAAGATCGTTTTCATATTGACCAGATATCTTAACTGCGATAGCTTTTTTCAAAATGCTAATATAGAATTCTTTTCTTATTTCTATCGTATATTAATAATAATTCCGAGTAATTGAAGGGAATTGATTATTGCTATAAATAGTAAAATTATTATTCTAATTATGTTTCTTTAAAGACAGTACATGTAAACGTTACATTATGTGTAAATGAAATGTAATCTTATCGAATTGTACTATATTTCAAATTTTCTTTGAGAACTGTATTATATTTTCTGGATAAATCATTTATTATTACAAAGTATCATTTTTCATTCTAATTTAACCGATCTTGTCAAGAGAAGTTTTTTGGAAAAGACTAATTTGTTCAAATCATTAAAAAATTTAATATTGATTTTGTGGTTATGTTGTAATATCTAATAAAAATAAAATGTATCAATAGTGAGAAATTTTGTACATTGTGATGCATCCGATTTTTTTAGAGAAATACAGTTAATGATAACAAAATAATTATTTAGAATATTACGCAGACGATAATATGCATGGTTGTGCTTTAGTTTGTTGTTATGCAAAATTCGCTGCAAATATGAAAGTAATATGATTGTCATTGTATGCGAGAGGGGAGAAGGAAAATTGTGTTAGAATTAATATTAATATATTTTATATATAATGGAAATTCATCCTTATACTTATAAACTTATTACGTATGCCAATATATTGTTCAGATTGTGTATTTTATGCATGTTATGAACTTCTTGCATGATTTCGGATTGTCATCTGCATGTACTAATTGGTCTCAAAATAAGCTTTAATATATCTATACATTTGTAGAATAAAATTAATGTACAATTTGCTAGGATTTAGACTAATTAAATTTTTTTTTATAAGAAATAAAAAAGAACGGATGCTCAAAATTTATATCAAAAGTTAGCGTATTATAAATTACAAGCTTTCTTCTTAGCTTTAATCGATGTAAAATAAATAATATTGTATGGACTGATTATTATTTTAAGAATCGGCTTAAATGTAGTAAAAAACTAATAATAATAATAGTAAAGTATGCTCAGATCATTGATAAAGACACTTCTCTTTTTCTCTCAAATTTTTTATAAAAAAAAATAATATTCTATTGTTTGTTTAAAAAGATCTTTTTTGAGTGTTACAATATTAACATAAATTGCGAATTATTTTTGTATATAAAATTATACGAGTTTTTGTGTTTTATTTTTGCAGGATATTGTATATCAGAATTATTTTTTGCATGTTTTTCTGCCTGCTGCTTGAATTTTAAGTCATTACGAAAGAAAAGTTCAGAACACATTTTATATATAATACTATTATTGAGCAAACTTGTACAATGTAATACATTCATATTTTTAAAGGTTTTTTTAGAAGAAGCAAACTTTTAATTAGTAGAGGAGACGATAGATTATACATAAGATTAATTAAACAATATTGCTTGCTTAAAGCTATATAATATTTTAAGAAAGACACATATGTGTTCGGCTCATATAAAAGCAAACAGTATTATATTTGTTTTTCTCAGCATGTACTTTAGACAGAAAAAAAACTTAGATAGGATTTGTCTATGTCTACACATCTTCTAACAAAAATCAAAACGTGTCTGGAATTGAGAAATGTAGAAGTAGAAAAAGGGATTTTTTGTTCTTTAATTTGCTTTTATTAATTTTATTTCCTTCATTATTTTTTGCAAGGAAAATTTTAATCAATCTTTTGTATAATATTAAAAAAGAACGGAAAGTATCCAGTGAACATCTAATTATATCTGGAAATATTTTTCAAGTTTGAAAGAGCGGAGAACGATGATTTCGCTTCTACATTCCTTAATCTTACTGTACATGAATTTTTGCGCGTTTAAATATTCTGGAAAAAAAAAGGAAAGAAACGGAGGAACTATGGGAAATGCTGTTGAAGGTGTCATAGAAACCGTTAGAATATATGTGTCAATGTTTGTATTCGTTGGTGTGCATGATGACGAGTTTTGTTCACAGTTCACATGATGGTGGAAGAAGAGCCGCTGTTAGACGAGGAATACCATTACGGATCCGACACGGCCGTCGACCTCTGATATATATTAGCTTTAAGCTATTGGTTTTTCGATCGGCTACACGCGACCACATCGTCGGAAAGTCTATGAAAATAATAAAGTTCGCGTCTTGCAGGGTGTTCGATATTGTTGGACAACATCCGCGAGACAACGACGATTGCACGAGGAATGAAACTTGTGTGTCTTACCCTATAAATGCATGGTGTATCTCGCATACGTGCTCGCGTGTAGAGAAGAGATTTGTCCTGCATCTCCCTTTTATACCGCAATATTTTGTACGTGTCGTTTCGATACTATATATACAATTATATTGGATTCTCGTCGGAAACAGTACAAAGAGCGAGTATTGGCGATACAATTGTACGAGCGAAGTCGCTGTCTTTCTTGTTATATGTGCGCTTATCAGTGAGGCTACTTAAATGGCATTACTTAAATGGATATATAGGAGAACACGAGAGAAGATATAGTCCTCAATATAGTCCACAAGTCTACTCTCTTCGCGCAATGTGTGCTATTAGCGAACTTGAAGATATTTATACGTAACTTTGTAACAAAGTCAGAATCAACGAATTTTGTCTTGTTAAGATCTCGTCAAAGAGGATCCCGAGATTCTCCAGCAAAATGTATTCGGAATGTAAAAATTGTTGAAAGTAGCATTTTGATTAAACATAGAAGCGATATTTTGACTTGCTGATTTTTTAATCGTTTGAATATGATCGTTCGTGACGCAGTTTCTTTCTTGCGTGTGATATCAGCAGAAAAGTTGTTGGCATCTTTTATACAGTAACAATAATGTAACGAACGTAGGAAGGAAAAGCAACTTCGAAAGCTTGCAGGAAATCGTTAAATATATGTATAAGTTAGAAAGACGAACGAACACTACAGTATTACAAATGTTGCTTGTAGTTTTTAATTCTTTTGCGTGTCTGTATTTTAATGTCTATTATTTGCACGAAATCTTTATTTGCAAAGATTAAATCTATCACTAATAATGTTGATTCATTTAATTTTCACAAACGTTAGAGATTTATTGTCTGTCATCTTGGATGATGATTTACTAATCTACTTAATCTGTGGTGTTCGCACAGTAGAAGATAATACTGGTCCTAAGATATCTCAACGAAATCGCGTAATTTATTATAAAGTATGGTATTTAATAAAATTTATACAAGCGCGACGAGTTTCCTTCAAATTTTCCCAATTCAACCAAGATCAAATTATTCAAGCTTAAAAGAAGACAAAAGGGTATATTACATATAATATCTATCAACTTTTTTTCTCTGAGGAACTAAATCATGTATGAAAACATTTTATCTTCGACACTTTTTACATTAAGAGAATTCCTTATAAAAATTTAATACTGAAATATTACATATTAACTTTTTTTCTCTATCAACTTTTTTTCTCTCTGGGAAACTAAATCATGTACAAAAATGTTTTATCTTTAGCACTTTTAATATTAAAAGAATTCTTTATAAAAATTTAATACTAAAGAGTAGTGATTAATTTTTTATTCTCAATATTAAAAGCACCCTATTATATTCAATGCTTTTAATACTCGAATTAAATTGGATTATAAAAGATATTATAATTTCTCTTTGTGTCGTGTCATGGCTCCTTGGAATAAAATGTGTTTGAGTATTAGATTAATCGATGAACAACGCGCGTTTACTCGTTGTACGATGAGGGCGGCGAGCTACAGTTATTGGCGTATAAGTTATGGGTTTCCGAATGAAGCCACCCCTCGTTGTCCGCGACCTTCTCGCATGAATTCCCACGTGGAAGATTTTGGGTGTGCTATGTAGCCTCCCTCCTCCCTCCGAAAAAAGATATCGAAGACGGCACCCTTGTCCTTCGCCCTGGCACTGGTCGGTCGGTCGGTCGGTCGGTCGACCTAGTCGACGCCCCACAAGGTTCTGGCCTCGTTCCTAGCCTCGTGTGCGCGCCACCCGCCACCTTCCTGCGTACTCCCGGACGTTCAGCTGAATCTGACGGGATTATTGATCCACTGGCGATGCCGCGAGTACGCCAACCGGGCCATGCGACGTACTTCTGAACGCAGGGCCGAATTAAAAAGCTCATTTTTAAGCTTGTAATTAATCGTTTTTGAAGGCAACATTTTTAGGGTAGAGATAACGAAAACATTCGAACTTGCTGGAGATGTTTTTCCCTGTAACGTATGTTTTCCATTTTTAAATAGATATATCGAATTTAACTCTTTTAAATCTGATTTTAATAGAATTATGTTAAAGAAGTTTTTTTTAATTATCAATTCGAAGGCACTTTAATAAGTAATTTATGCTAAAAGATTTTTTTAATTTTAATCATTTTTTACGTACATTATGTACTTATACATTTGGTTTTAGATGATGTTAATAGAATTAAATTTTAACGGATAATGTCTTCAAATTATTGCAATGTACACATAATGTCTAAAGGAATTAATACACAATTCAAATAAACTTGAAAATAATTAAAATGTTGGAGAGAGAGAGAGAGAGAGAGAGAGAGAGAGAGAGAGAAATTAGACATTAGAAATTATTTGTTATATAATTTACATATTGTAAATTGTAATCTAAAAATCTTGTCGATTATATCCTGTTAAAAATATTTTATTTTATTAAAAATGTAAAGAAAAGAGACGATATTACTTAATAATGAAAGAAACTTTAATTTGTCGATTTTGATGCTACAGGTAAGTCGTATTAAAAAAGTTAAGTTACTATTGTTTTTATAATAGTGAAAGATAATTATTACTTAATATCATAATGAGTTCTCTTTTAGTTGGATTTTAGATAATTATATTTAATTATAAAACGTGACATTATAAGAATGAGGTATTGAAGTTGTAATTGATGTAAAATAAAATTATGTTTGAGATCTTCGATCGCTATTAACAGCAATTTTCTGTACGTCCCACACATACATACATCTTAAGAAAAGAAAAATCACGTGATCAATATAGTACAAAAATATTTGCTCTGTCCACAGCGTATTCTATACCATACACAAAGACAAATATTACACGCGCGCTCTGCTCTACGCCCTATATCAAAAAATCAATACAGTCTAATATGGTCTATGTGTTATATCTGTACAGCAAAAAAAAAAAATTAAAAGAATTTAAGTCCGCGCTGAAACTGAAGAAGACCCGACCATTCTTCCTCCGCTTGTTACTCGGCGCTTTAACCGGCGACAAAACGGACGAGATGTCGGACGCGATGGTAGTTGAGGCCTAATAAATGAGAAATAATGGAAATTCACTTTCAGAAGCGAAATCAGGAAATGGCTTGCGCCGTTACTGGAGGCGCGTCCGGCGTCCGCAGACGTGCGCTTGCCTGGTACCGCTTCTGGCGAACGATCAGCGTCGCCGCCAGTGCGATATCGCCGTTTGGCTGATACGGAACACCGTCGGCCTGACAATCGTTCGTATGGCGGTCGGACGAGGACCGAACGCGGTCGTTCTCCGCGTTAATACGCATTGCAAAACGTAAGTGTCTTGTGAGCGATGATGGTGGCGGAGGAGCAGACGACGTCGCGATGCCGACGTCAAGGGATTATTTCTCAATAGAATTGTTCGTAGAATGATCCCGGATTTGCTTCGGAATGGCCTTGAGCTGACGAAGTGATCCCGGATACTTCTTTTTCTTTGCACAAATATTTAATTTCTCCCTTCCCGGAAGGGTTGGTCAATCGAATCTCTCGTTACGATTCGCGAATCCGAGCAATGCTCCCCGAGTGGATGTCGGGATGTCAGAAAGGTGAAACCGTCTCTTCCGGTGGGGCTCGTTCATGCCTTGGGATCGATGCAATGAAATAATCTCGGCACGGCGTAATTATTTGCGAACTTAAGCGCGAGTCCGTTTAATTGAGTTGCTCACACGATGATGGCTACAAGAATCTGATATTTTTTGATTGAGGTAAAGAGACGATTTTGAATTTTTTCTTCGTCACAATTCGGGATTGTTCCTTCGGGAACGTTCCTTAGCGAATCTGCCGAATTGATTAACTAAATGTACGAGTCGCTGTACAATCATAATCGATGTTCCTCAAGTCAATAGTATGATTGAAGTCACTCTCCAGAAGCAGCAGAGAACTCGACGAGGTCAACTCGTTAACTGTCGCGTTCTTATCGAAACAGGTCGCCCGCAGTTATTACGTGCTATTTAACGCCACAGCTGAATGCAACTTTCTCACATCTGGACGGAAATAATTCCGGATGTCATTATTGCTGGCTTTGTATCTCGGCGATACCATTCGCGCCTCGGGAAGGTGGGTTGAATAATTGATCGCGGCACGCTCGGGAGTCGGGAGATTTGGTGAATTGTTAAACGCGACCTTCGACCAGATAATGCATCGTTGAATTTTTGACAAACGAGCTTTTAATGTGATCAATACTTTCATTTTGCTGTCATTTGAGACGCGCGTTAATGTCATGCATAATTTTACTTTTTAATTTATGCGAAATTGATTTTTAGAATTTCAAATCTAGATCACGAAACGAAGCATATTGCAATTAATGTGCAACTTTAGGATGCCACACGTAAAAAAATCCACATTTGCAATTTGTTTAGCGACATTCGATTCTGCATAATTTTTGCAAATAATTTTATACATATAGGAAGACACTTTGATGAATCAGTGATATTTTTAAAATTTTTTTTTACCAAAATTCGATTTATTTTTCAACATAATCTTCTTTCAAAAAAATCACTGATTTATCAAACTATCTTCGTACGTATGAATGGTATTCCTTTAAGATCGAAGAGTTCAATTAATATCACCGCGCTTTATTCTTTTTTTGAAGACTTGAGAGAAAATGAGTCTGCAAATAAATGTCTTAACTTCAAGATTGACTGTCTCAAGTTTTCCATCATTATCCAGTTTATCGTTTCAAAATTGAAAGATTCTCTATCACGTCAGCGACGTAATCCGTTTTCTTCTAATGAACCTGAGAAATGGGATTTAAATGAAATTTTCAAATTAAGATGAGAATAAATGGGAATTAAATGCGATTTTCTCATTAAGATTGAGTTCTTCAAATTATTAACGGAACACGGAATTAGATCACTGAACTTTTCGATCAATTTCTTTCATGCACCGAAAAAAAAAACAAAAAAAGAAGAGTTCTTTGAGGATGATCGCCTAGATGATGTCAATGAAACATCGGAATTAGAAAAACAGATAGAAAACGTTCGGACGATATCCGAAAGATCGGATCTCGTTTGTCGCCGGATCGGTTCTTTTTCCGCGACA